TGACATTTCCTATATAATTTTACTTTCAAAATTATGATATATATCGTCATTTCTAAGCCATCTATGACGCCATTTTTTTCAGTTTTGTTATAATTAATTTTGTCTCTTGATCTACTTGTAACATTATTTTTTAATTTTATTAATTTATTGTGGTGAAATTAATTTCTGTTGTATATTTGATATTGATATTAAACATATTTTTAAAAAATGGTGTATTTTTTGTGTTTTTATCTATGTCATAATTAAAAATAAATGAAGAATTAAAATTTTTTATTTTTTTAAACTTCCCGCCATGCGTGACAATCTAGTCCGTAGTTCCTACAAGCGATATTGGGGGCGCTAGTAGCAGTAGACTTGTCAACAGTGTCAAATTTAAACGTCAATTTCACTTTCCAATATTTAGCAAGGCGCTCGCACTTCTCCTTGTGTATGTGTTTTGTGAGTAAGACTCAAACCTAACTAAATCTCGTCGTCCGACAAGCCTCCGACCGAGACATTTCGACAACATTTTTGATTATTGTATTGTTAAAATGTACGGATTAGCCTTTTATTATTGTTTCATACACACTAGACCGTTCAGATTTACTAATATTGCGTTGATTATAGCTGTAAATAAAAATGTGTGTTTAATACCAGTAAATAATCCGTTAGTTGATGGAAGAAGTATCGTGTTTATCGACAAAATTAATTGTAGGCTTTTAAATTTTGCCTAATATGGTCATATTTTGCAATATTCAACTCATAATTGTTGATACTTCTGGTGGATGATGTTCAATTTATACATATATAAAATATAAACAAACCAAATTGAAGTACTAGAAGCAATAAGGTGAGATAGTTATTTTTACGAATCCCTTTATTATTACTTCTTTACTTATAGAGTATCTGTTTCTGTGTATGCCTAAGTTTCTGTTTTCCAAGAAGCATATTAATTAAATGAACAAAACTGTGTCCAAGAAATAATCTATTGCATAGAGAATTTAATGAAAACAAAATTGGTGATGCTGTGTTCAAGTAAAGTTCCATGCAGGAATCAATGGTTATTGCTAAAATATTTTATTGGTGTATTGTCAATTTTATTTACTTATATATTACGTTATTTAATCTCAATAATTTTAGGCTCCTAAGTCATTTATTTACATACTTAACTTTTAACGTAACTACTGGTAGATTGTAGGAAATAATATACACATTGGAACAATTTAAGTAAATAAATGAATTAATATAATACATACATCAAGAAGTAATGTATAATTTTACAAAAAGCTGTATTAATCACTTTCGAAAATCATAATTGTTTTTTTTAGTAAGTCGCAGACAAATATTTTAGGTTTGTTATTAAATTAAATGATAATGTAATAAGTACAGATTTAGACTCTTGAACCAGGCATAGTATATTAATTAGTAGGGTTCACAGTAAAACATATTTTGTAATACCATTCGAAAGAAAATAAATACCTATATTATACTGTTTATAAAGTGAGTTTCATTGTAACATAACTTAAGAAAACAATTAATATGCATATGTCAATCATAAGAAAAGAATCTATTAATTTAATGAACTATACCCATAGTACTCGGCAAACAGTAAACCAAACCAAAGAAACTAAGACTTACAGTGTTAGATCATGTAGTATATAAATATTTTAATTTTATCATTTAATAAATAAATACAATATAAAATTTAAAATGCCAATTTTTTATTTTAAAACAAGTGATTTATATATGTATAAACAATTTACAATTATTTATCATTTAATTTATTGGCCACAGCTTCCGGGATTATAAGGCTAATATTTTGCTGCCTATAGTGCCTATATCTCAAAAAAGAATAATTAAGAGTAATTAATGATTAAGTATCCCTGTATTTTTAAATGTTGAATCTTATGGACTGAAAAAACTGCTGATGATATTTCTACTTTCACTGACCCTTTGGTCAGTGAAATGCAGAAACCTAGAAGAAATTCAAAAACAAATTGTACAAACATTTTACGGTTTTCCTTAAATCCTCTATACAATAGACTATTTCTTGGAAATAGTTTTGTTCATTTAATTTGTTTCTTAGAGGTTATACACAGCTGTAGATATTCTATAAGTAAAAAAGTAATAATACAGATTCATAAAAATATCCCACCTTACCGTTTCTAGTACTTCAATTTAGTGTGTTTATATTTTATACATGTATAAAATTGAACATCATCCACCAGAAGTATCAACAATTATGAGTTGAATATTACAAAATATGACCATATTAAGCAAAATTTAAAGGCCTACAATTAACCTTGTTGATAAACACAATACTTCTTCCATGTATAGTAATGAACACACATAACTGGTTTACAGCTACAGTTTTACTAAATCTGAAGGGTCTAGTGTGTATTAGACAATTACAAAAGGATAATCCATACATTTTAACAGTAGAATAATCTGATTTTTGTTAACGAGTTATCGAAATGCCTGGAACTGGGACGGGCGATTGTTAGGTTAGAGCCTTTTTGATTTTTCTCTTCTTTACTTTTAAAGACGCATTTAGTATTAATTACGATTTACTGGATTTACCTAATATAGATTTTTTATTAATTAAAACTGGTATAGTTCAAATTATCAGAAAAAAATATTTTTTGGATATAGATTTCTGTATCCGGAAACTTACTATTGTCTTCTAGATTTTCTACATTTAGTATTCATTTTAATTAAAATTTAATTTTTTTGAAGATCTTTAAAGTGAAAAGAAGAAGAATTTTAATTAACTAAAAAAATCAAAATAAAGTTAATTAACTTTGAGCAGAGTTCGACCTCGTCAAAAATAGCATCGATAGTCATTCCCCAGCCGCCTTTGACGCCGTTTTTTCTCGATCATACGGTATATTTCACGTAAATTAGCTAAAGGAATATCTAAAATTTCCGATACGATAGATTATTCTTATGTATACACGTATTCCAAGATTTACAAATAGCGGTAGAGAGTTAAGTTTCCCTAATATATAAAGAATTTATTAGTGGCTCCCAAAATAAAACAAGAGACAGATAGCAGTATACTTTTAATAATTCTTTAGTTTCTTTTATTATCAATCATGGCCTACTAATAAAAATGATTTTTTAATGAAAACTTTTAAATATTGCAGTAAATAGTGAAAATAAATATAGAGTGATATATATTTTTGAGAAGCTTATGGCAAGCCAGATCATATAGTTTATAAATATACAGGGTGTTCCACTTAAAAAAACATAACTTTAGTTCATATTTTCAAAAATATTTTTTTGGTAGAAAAACAGACTACGCCACTGTATTCTACGTAAAAAGTTCTACAATAAACAATTTTCACCTTCTGGATAGCTTTAACAATAACAGAGATACAGGAGGTGTCCCAAATTAAAAAAACTTTCAAAAAGACCCTGTAGCTCGGAAACGAAGAGGGCTATGAAAATTTTGTTTACGGCATCTTCCGTTTGACAAAAAAGTGAGACGGGTCTGTGCAAACCGCACCCTTCTATCTTCACTAATAACGGAGATACCGTATGATTTCGACCAAAATCTGTACAGGCCAATTAATGATGTCTAGGGCTTGACCTCGCCAAAATTATCATCGGTAGTCATTACCCAGCCTTCTTTGACGCCGTTTTTTTTTCGATATGGTATGGAGGATATGAGGATAAGAACAAAATAAAACAACAATGTGATTTATAGAATCAAAATTATATTTTTATATTTTAGTTGTAACGCGTTCACAAAAGCTCGTTAATATAGAATTTACAAATAGTACAAGGTCGAAATATTTTTTATACAAAAATCTTTGGCGAAAAGAGAAGAAAACATAGTTTTGATTTGAAGGAAAATACATTCGAGACAAATATATAGATATAAATTACAATATGCGTTCATGTAGACATAACAAAATCAACAATTGGCAATATTCGTTTATTTTTACAAAAAGCTGGATAAAAATGGAGACAGATTGGTTGATGATATGTAAAACACTGTGAACATCGATAAGTTTACTAGAAAGAGTGTCATGATAGTTTTGTAGGTTTATATTTCAAACTTCTATAAAAAAACATTTATATAAATGTATTTTACATATATTATTAAATGTGTAAACGTATTATTAATTAACATTTTAGTTATTTTTTATACAAGACCGAAAAGATCGAAGAAAAGAATTTCGGGAGACTATAATGCAATTTTAACGTCGTGTATAAAACAATATTTTTTCCATAGCGAGTTACGTTTTAAAAAATATTCAGAAATTATTATTTCAAGGAATTTATTACGAGTAGAAAAACTATTGTGCTGGGTTGGCGTTGGTTTCTATGTAATTTGACAAATAAATAAAGCTGTCTCTTTAGTTGTCAGTTTTGAGTCAATATTTTTTAATTCTCTTTCGTGTCGATTGCTGATTGAATTGGAGCCAGAAATGGCTCAAAACGAAATAAGTAAATTACCAACGAATATTCAGGCTGAGGCGACAAACGCCATATCCAAACTACTTCCATTTAAATCCCCAATAACTTATGAAAAAGAATACAAAAATTTTCAAAAATGGAAGCAATTAAAAAACGTGCGAGAAGAAATAAAGTTTTTAACCTATCCTCGCTGTTAAAGTATCATTTAATCTACCCATGCGGTTAAAGTACTATTTTATCTACTATTTTTGATAGACATTAGGCAATTTTAACAGTTGCTGTAGAAACAAATATTTTTTGTGAATTTATGACACTTTTTTGCTCGCTGTTTTGTGTGTCAGTTTTAGTCATATTTTCTAGTGGACAAAAATGCAAAAATGAATGCAAATGAATTTTTATTGGTTTAAATTCTTTTATATCTTTACAATTTACAATGCAAATTTAACATATTCCACGGGGTGTTTAAAATTTTCACTAAAAACGTATCATTTAGTTATAATTATTCAAAGATGAGAACTTTTATTTTTAATTTAGACAGAGATACTAAAAAGTCAAATAATTTATCTACAAATTTTTAAAAAATAATGAAAATTGGCTCATTAGAATAAGATATATTAAACTTATAAAAAAAATAAAAATATTTTATAATAAAACTTTACACTGATAATATAAACCTACAAAACAACTTGTTTAACATTGAGTTAGCTTTCTTACAGAAAAATGACCACAGAGAAGAGGTTTCACACGCGCTTCTCCTTCACCTTTTGTGTCTGAGACATCTAAACATTCAAATATTTATAATATTTACATCAATAAGTTCAGTAAGTGATTGTTCAGTCCGCAAATCAGTCATCTGCTATAAACACGGCAATATCACAAATACAGTCCACACAGAACTAGATAAATACTTAATATTCTCTAGTTTGTTTCTTTTTTCATCCGTTTATATACAGTATGTTACATCATTGGGCCTCTCATTCCACCTGCTTGTAATAAGTCTTTCCTCCAGACTCATGGTCGGAACATTACTTAATTTATCTATATACAGTATGATACAAGTTCTTGTAGATATCACTAGGGGGCCTTCTCAGCGCGGATAACCTGAGTACAGTATCGCAGGGCCCCACCTGGCTCAAACCAACCCTGGCGGCTTCACGTCCAGCCCCGCTACCATATCCAAACCACCTAAAGACTGCGAAGGGGGTGGCGTCTGGTTCATCGAAGCCGGCGAGTTCACGTTGTTAGTCATATCACTCTGACTGTTCTCTTCTGAATCACTACAAGAGTCTGAACTACCTTTCTTTCCATTTCCGTTGTGAGTCTTCACGTGTTTGGCTAGGTGGTCAGACCGCATGAATCTCTTGTTACAGACGGGACAGGCAAACCTTTTTTCACCGGTATGAGTTCTCAGATGCCTCTGGAGTTCATCTGAACGTGTGAATCTTTTACCACAAAACAGCCAGTTACATACAAAAGGTCGTTCGCCTGTGTGCCACCTGAGATGTGCTTTAAGATGTGAGGTTTTGCCATAAACTTTACCACAACCTGGAATATGACAACTATGTATATTTTTCTTCCTCAAGTGCACTCCTGCAGGTCCTAATCTTTCAGCTTCCTGACAGTTTGGGCAATCACAGGTAGCTCTGCCCGTATACCTTCTTTGTGATCTGGGTGACGGTACTTGAGGAGGTAAACCTCCAGCACCACCTGTAGGTGAAGGTGTAGAACTAGCTGCGTGAAGTCCAAACGACGCTCCGACTGATTGAGCTCCTGGGAGCATGGATTTGTAGGTGTCCTGTAATAAGTGTTGGCCTGATGATAGTAAATGGTTTGAAGCGGCTAAAGAGTGTGTTAAACTTGAATAATCTGAAGTATAGTTTGCTGCAGCCATCTGGGCATGCATCCCAGCTGCTCCGCTCATCTCTAACCAACTCCCCGTCGTTGAGTGTACGTCCCACCAAGTATTAGCAGCTGCAACTGAGTCAGTTTTAATCCCACCATGAGTCGCACTAGACATAGTGTTAAAAGGCCAACTCTCGTAAGGATGCCTGGAGTATACCGATCCCAAAGCAGCATGGTGTGCTGTAGCAGCACTTTCAACCTTCCCAAGTAACGAACTTTGATGATGATGCACGTTATCTGCTACAGAAGGCTGCGTAGTTGCTCCAGGAAAGTACAGATCACTGCCATACGATGCTGTCGTGGGTACCGATGAACATGAAGTCATCACAGATCTAGAGTAAGTAGGATTGGAGCCTGAAGAAGACCTCTGTCCGCTCAGGGAGCTGGCAGCTGAAGAGACGCATGGACTGCCGGGTGATGGAGCTCCTTGAGGTGATTTCTTCCAAGGGTGAAATCCCTTGCCCACTGCGGCATCGGCGAGGGGTGGTGGGGATTTGTTGCTGAGCTTGTTGCACTGGGCGGCCAGCATTGCGAGGGGGGTGCCCCTCAAGCTGGGGTGCTCCTGAAACAAAAAGGAAAAAAATATTAGTTTTGTTGTAGTTTTGAATAAATTGATACATTGCACAGATCTTTATTCGATTTTTCATGTAAAACATTTTCATAGTTTGACTAAAGAGACTCCCTGACAGTGACTGTGTTGTGTCTGTCATTTTAGTTCATAGGTAAATTGTATTTTCTGTAATTTTTTGGATGTAGTCTGTCGAAATCTTCCTTGACTCATTGGACATTGGACTTTTGCAATTTGGGACTTTTTAATTTATTTTGGGCATTTGTTTAACAATAATAAAAAAACAAATAAATATTTTTAAAATAGAATATTTTTTTTTATTTGTCTTTTAAAAATGGGTGTGCCCATCTAATGAAATTACCTAAAACTGATTTTTATTTAATTCCTGTTAACTATACTGTGTATAAAAAACTATATAGAGTTAAAATACATTCTTTATTGGTTTACCGTAGATTTTTTTATTTTAAAGCAACGAAATAAAAAAATATATAGTTGTTTGAACACCCTGTACATGAAATAACTAATATTCCAAAATAAATCAGCTGATTACTGACATTCATACACAAATCTGCTTTAGATTATGTAAGCTGAGTTAAAAAATAAGTCGATATTTTTGTGGTTTTAGAAAAAATACCAAATAAAATAACTGGAATAACCCCACTTATTTTTAAAAAAGCAGTAACTTCTTAATTTTTTTCTCATCTATTCGTTTACAACCTGTATACAGCGACCAACTCATATTTAATCGTTTTAAAAAAAATTAAATTATTAAAAATTAATTTTAAATATTTTTAAAGCATAACTTTTGAAATATTTCAATAATTTCACTTATCAATGTACTTAATATAAATATTTTTATAAAAAAATCAGTATAATATCAAAATTCCATACATTTTTAATAATTTTTGTTAATTTCTAACAGAAAAAATATCCTATTTCCTTCTCTTGGTTAATAATTTGCTGAATTTATAGTATTTTTTAGTTTTTTCGTACATTTTTTCATATAAATAATCAATTTACTTTCAAAAAACACAAAAAACTAGATTTTTTTTCATAAATTTATTAATAACTTTTATTTTTACCTAATGTAAATCAAGCTTTATCAGTGGAAAACAGTCTATACTCGGCTTAATGTCGAACTGTCAATTTGTCAATTCAAAGCCGCCTCAATTTTTTGGAAAACGTCAGCGCGCTTCTCTCGAGTCGTAGGAGTAGGAAATTGCGCGAAATATTTCGTGTTTTTTGTTAATTATTCTTGAAAAAAAGTGATTATAGTAGTGATAGAGTTAGTGAAATGTGTTCCTGGATAGTTCCTTTGCCTGTTCAACATGTAAGTTTGTCCCGATTCTTTGTTATAAGATCTTTTTGGCATACAATAAAACTGAAAAATTGGCAGGCTCAAATAAATCAACTCTGATTTTTCGCTGTGTAACTAGATAAAACCGGTTATTACAGTTTTCTATGCCACTTTTATAAACAATGAAGCTGAAATTGTTATTTATATTGCAGGATTCATATTTTTTGATTGATTTAAAGAATATATAATATTTTGAATATTTTATATTAAAAAATGATACAGATAGCTGTTATTAAAGTTATTTTCGGATTACAATAATTTATTAGATTTATTTTATAGTTGTTTTCTGGATTTTTGAGATATTAATCAGATTTTATTTAATTATACTTGGGGATGTTGTTACAGGGTGTACCTAATCTTATAGGTGATAATATTTTCTATAAATTTATTATATTTAACAGGTTCTTTATATTTAAAAATTTTTGAATAAAGTTTTGTAAAATATTCCATAAAACTGTTAAAATATCTTTAATATTAGAGCAAATGTTATACAGGGTGATCCAGTATTTCGAATAAGATATTTTTTTCATGTTAGATTTTCTATTTAAGATTTCCACTCCGATTTTTATACGAAATTTGCTGGCATAGGTATAGTGCACATTTTGAAAATATTTTTGTAACTATACAGGGTGATTCAAATATATTTTTAGACTAATGTTATATTTTTTTTAAATTGAATGCTGTATTTTTTCTCGCAGTGGGTTTACCACAAAACCTTTCTTCTAAACATACAATAATATCATAATTTATACAGAGTGGTATTTGAAATATGGCCATTATTAGATTAAATTCTCTGGACATTTTTAGTTCTTCCAAAAATAAAATATTTTTTCAGTATTCTTTTTAAAACTGATTATACTAAAATGTGCCATATTGCATGATATATACAGAGTGAATCAAAACTACATGTATTTTTCTCCACCTCTTTAGTAGATTCATATATTTTATTACATAAATGAACGTAGTTTTTTATCGAAAATTAAAATTTTCATAAATAATTTTACCATATATTTTTTTTTAAATCAAATTTGATAAAAATAATTGCTTTTCGATGATATTACAACCAACCAAAGAGGAATTTAAAAAAAACGTAGTGACTAAAGAAATGTAAGAAATTGAGTGGCCCAAAGCAAACGTGATTTTGTAATAGCGTGTTCTTCTGACGGAGCCTCGTCTTTTCACTGTTGCCATCTTGTTAGCTTTATATTATACAGTGTGTTTAAGATATTGGGACACATATATTGCAAAAATCTTACTGAGAAACTTTAAATCTTTAAAAAATATTTAAAAATTATGAAAAGTATAGATAGTGTTTTACTGTTTCCAGCAAATTTCACATTTTTAAGCTTTTCGGTATCCCAAAAAACATAAATTTTGACTAGATTTTTAGCTTTGATCCAGTATACATTTCTTGAATAAAGTTATGCCATAATATGTAACTTCCAGTGAATTTTTGCGCTGGAGCTTTACATTTTTTTTACGAGACTTTTGATTTTGTCTAGGTTTTGTTCTAGTTGTTTTGTATTTAATTGATTGTTTTATTGTTTATTAATTTTTAATTTAAAATTACTCTGGCCGTTATGCCTTGCGGAACGTTTTCGATGGGCCACCCTGTAATATACTCTACATAGGTTTAAAAGACTATTTTTTATCTATAATTTTTTTACCCTTTTTGGCAGATTTCCTTTACGCAAGATTTTTAGAAGAGCTTAGGGCGACGACAGTTTTTAGAAGAGCCAATTAGCTATCTTTTGGTAAAAAAGCAACTTTCTAGAGCAAGTCGTTACTTCAGTAGAGACGACACAGATAAACATTATCATTATATCATTTCATCATATGTAGATTCGATAGATATCTAGAATAGATTCATCAAACAGAGTACAGAGTATCAATATCTACTTCTTTTAATTCTAAAATTTTGAAGATTTTAATTAAATCGTGGAAAAGGACTGTTTTTAAATTCAAGAAATTAATAAGCATGTATTTTTAATAATAAATTTTACAATTTTATTGGTAAAAGTGTGGCTATTAAACAAATAAAAATCGGGACATTGGGGCTTTGCGTGGGGACGCGGGACTTTTGGATCAAAATCGGGACTGTCCCGACAAAAACCGGGACGGGTGGCAACCCTGGTTGGAGGTCCTTCCAGGTTCTTGAGTTCCGCTTTAACTTGGTTTTCACTTAGAAAGCAGAACGACGGTTCTGGTTCAGTTAGTGGAGTGTTCGCTCCTTTTCTAGCTAGGGCGTTAGCTTTATCATTACTTTCTATCCCTTGGTAGACAGGCACCCAGAGTACGAGGATTCTTTTGTACTTTGAACATCAAAAGTGATAAAGTGTAAATCCTGCTCTACTCTGTAAAGCCGGCAACGTTGCTCGGATTGTTTTTGTGCTTGGCTGTGCGTGTCTGAGGACGTCGGCGCGGCGACCCACAGGCGCCAACTTTTCATTAGAGGGCTCCTGATTAAAGCCTCCTCCGCCGCCATGCACACAGAGGGCGCCCCCTCTATTCGTTCCAGGATAATTAACAAATTACCGAGCCAATTCGACAATTAAACGGAAAAACATGGCCGATAATTAAATAATCGCTCCTGTGGGGATGCGACGACGTGTTTGTCAAATACGTGACGAATTTTGATGCAAGACCAATTTTCGGTTTATTGGCTTATATACAGTATGTCCCCGGATTGTCTTTACAAGAGGAAAAGCTTGTTTATTATTGACATTTTGAGAAAATTTAATTTTTTATAAAAAATTTTCATTTTTTATAAAAATACCGTTTGAGGGAAAATAAAAAAAACATAAAAATATGATTAAATTTTTTGCTGTTGTTAAAGGTATCACATTTTCCGATAACTGTTATCACCCATTTCGTAACATTGAACTAAATAAATTTTGTGCTTCTTTATGACCTTAATGAAAATTCTAATCCATAACAATCTATCAGAGAACGAAAACGGAATTATATTATCATAGAAACGCGTTTTGATTTTTAAGACGGTATGGAAATTTGGAGAAGTATAAACGGGAATAACCATTCCCGAATAAGCAAACTTTTTATCAAGAATGCATTTTTCTCAAAATGTCAATAATTAAGAAGTTTTTCCTCGTGTAAGGTCCGGGGACATTCTGTATACGTAATTATACAGAGTGGTACATTGAAAATTTTCCATTGGGAATATATTTTAGACAAAAACGATGTCCCACTTAAGAAATGTATAGTACAGGGATCATCAAAGTTATTGATCTCTCCAAAAAAATTATCAATACCTGTCATCATTGACATAAATTAATCATGTTGACTAAATAGTTATTAGACTGAAATCATAAATTTGAAATGTTTTTGTGCCAAAAGTTCAATAGAAACTGTTTTATCATCATTTTTTCGAAGAAAAATTTATGATTAATTTAAAAAAATAAAAACTTCCCAAATTTATCATTTCATTTAAATAACTATCTACTCAGCATGTTTATTTTTAGTCAATAATGACATGTATTGACTATTTCCATTTTAAATATCTTGGGAACGGTTGTCCTTAACGATTTTTAGTTTTTTTCGTCTTGTATAAATAACAGTGATTTGTAGTCAATTACAATGTCTCTGTATTAAAATGAATTTTCATATACTTTAGCATCAA